AACCCTCAAATGCTCCACCAAAGCCTCTCTCGCCTTTTTCTTAAATGGACCCGCTCCCAGTCTGCTCATGCCACTCCACTTGCCATCGGCTTCCTTCATTGCCATGACCCACTTTCCAGTCTTTACAGCAGGTTGGAATTTCCTGGGGTGCCAGACGACGTTGTGGCCCCAGACATCCTCCGGCGTGAACTGGTGATGCTTCCCGTAGAAGAAGAGTTTGTCATTCTCCCAGGTATCATGGTCCCTAGGGAGCTTGTCACCAAGTTCGTAATCATAGTCTCTCTCTTCTTCCCCGTCATCAGAAGATTGGTCCTCGACTGTTTCGCGCTCAAACACACGCTTCAAACCGGCAGGGGACGTGCTATATCTCCGAGGAACACCTTCCCCTTCATCATCAACCTGTGCAACCACCCGAGAAAGTGACATGGACTCGAAATCAAAGGTTTTGGAGTCGCTCATCTCCTTCATGTCCTCAGCGTCGAAAGGGTCCTCCTCGTCTAAGTGCGCCTTGTAGTTTTTGAGGGTCAACAGTTCGACCATCAACAAGAAAACGTGCTCCAGCCTTTTCAGGAAATTTGAGATAGACGCCCTCGGTGCATTGTGGTAACCATTCAGCACACCGAACACCAGGTTCCTCCGTCGTTTGTATTCCACGTCAGTTTAAGCAGGCGGTCCTGGCTGGAAAAGGAACTCCCAAACCTTCGTCCTTTTCTTCTCCGGTAATTTCCAATACATATCACATTTGGGATCCCAGTTCTGTTCGTCGGTGGTCTGGACAAAAGAGCAATGGTGGCGAGGGTCCCCCATGCGTTTCTTAACGAACTCGCAAAGGTAATCAATCGATCACCTTCGCCTCGTCCACTAACTCAACGACATTCCGACCGCTGCGGAGGACTCCCACATGGCAGACGCGTGCACCTTCCCGAAGACAAAAATAGTTTGCCCAACTCTGCAAAAGTTCTCGAGCTGACCAATTAGATGAGCTGGGTTGCGCTCCCTATCCCCGTAAGTAGCTCCTCGAATATTTATCACGCCGCCATTCTCCCACTGGCTATGAGGGAACTTGTCCTCGTCTGCCACGTTGAAACAGGTCACAGGCTGTCCTGACGGGTGGGATGAACAGGCAGCTTTCGAGCGGGCTGCCGCAGCGGGTTTGGCCGGACTTGGAGCATTGGCACGGGGAGGCTTCGATGGACTACTGGCCGAGAAGTATGCGACGGTGTTGTCTGCAAGGTTCTCGCCATTGAAAACCATGTACAGACGATCATACTCCTCGACCAGCATGTTGCCTTCCCGAACAGTGACCTTCCTTTGCGCATGGCGCACCCACTTCCTTGTCCTGACGTGATGAACTCTAAGCTTGGCCATGCCTTTCAAGAAACTGAGCTCCCAACGAGAGGGGAAGAAGACGATAAGTGCCTAGTGCCTTGGCGATAGGGTTTGGAGAATGTCTCGCAAGGAGGCAAAATCGTCTTCTTGCCAATATGAGAGAAGTGTGGGATAACACAAATTGAGGACGTACAAGTTGCACACGCAATGTCACACAATCTCGCGGATCTCAGTGAGACGAGTGTGAGCGTGGGAAGTTGGACAACTGAAAGGAATAAGGCTGGTCACCCGGTTGATCTTGTGTCATTTGATGTGTCTCACATCCCTGCTGACCCTGATCATGTCTTGCACTTCTTCCTCCGTTCGTAGCAAGATGGAGCGGACGGACTTCTCGAAAGATTTAGAGCTTCTCTCGTCATCGTACATTTTCTTCGTTTCGTCGAGGGACTCCTTCTCGTATGGAAGACACCGTTTGCAAGTGTTGACGTACTCCACCACATCGTGGAAATGCTTCCGCAGTTCGACCCACACCTGCTTCGTGAGGCCCCGCGACGCGAATTCCGCCAGAAGCTGCTCCTCGGTCCGAAAAAACTGGCTCCCATACCGCCAAACCTCTTCGTCCTCCTCGGATTCGAGGAACAAGATGTAGTGAAACTTGCGGAGCTGCCGGAGCATCATGCGGTTCACTTTCCTCGTTGTCACCATGTCTTTAATTCGAGGCTTATGCTGACGTTTTAGATGTCCGCCCTCCGATTGCACGAACACTCCCCTCAGGGTCAGAATGTCGTCGAGGATCGACAATTGTTCGGCATCGGTCATGTCAGCGAGGGACTGGCAACAGAACATGTCTGGCTCCTTCACGACGACGAAAAACTGGTCGTCTGATTGCGTAGTTTTTTTGGTCGGAGGCGGTGGTACCCGGACCAGCCACCCCATCTTCGTTTCACCAGCCGCCCCTTCAGCGCTCATTTCCGGAATCGCTCAAAGACCCGGAGATTTGTCTAGCATGTATTTGCCCGGCTTCGACAAGGGCGTCTTCCCGTCTCCGCCCAACAACTTTCCCTTGGCCCATTTGTCATAGAACTCCATGCCTTTGTGGAAAACGTCATCACCGGTGGTCACGAGCGGCATCCATTGCCTCAATGCATTGCCAATGGCAGCGACGTGGTCCTTGTCAGCAAGCGTTGTTGCTTTACGTGTCATCGTCCAGTGAGCCCCGTTCGGACTCTTTCCCAAAAACAGCTTTTGGAAGTTGAAAAACGCTTGTTTTTCCGCCTCCTTACCAGAAGGGTTTCCTTTAATGGCCACCGGCCTTCCTTGATTCTCTCATGCCTCCCACATGTCCTCGAAAATGGCCTTCCACGCACGCTGCTTAGACATCTTGTATCTTGTGTTCTCCGTGAGACTGACCTGCAAATACCCCCCAAAGTCTTCGTCGGAGAGCCACACGACTCTCGCCGGCCACGAGTGCATCTTCCACAATTCGAATATTGGCTCACCGTCCAACTCCTTCGCAGCAGCCACGGTGTGTTGTCCGTTGACAGGGTAATAAAAGTACTTGTTCTTGTCCTCTGGCTTAAAGACATCCTTGTGAACCCTCTCTGCTCTCTCCGGCTTATGCGTCATTGGCTGGTAGATGGGTGTCAGAACCAAAGGGTTTTTCGTCTAGATCTTCCCCTTTTCCTCGTGGAACTACCTTAGCACTACACCCTTGATGTCCTCCACACCATCGCGAGTGAGACTGCGGTGATTATAATATATTTCCCACGGCGGGATGTCGCAGACCTTCCTGGGGTCGATGAGCAGATGAATGGGGAGCTCCTTCTCCACGATCTCACTGTCATCGTCCCGCTTGTATTCGAGCCAAAACGTTGTCGCTTCATCGTACTGCCTACCGACCGCCCTTTCGCCACCACTCGTCCCTTCACCAGTCTTCCTCCTCCGAGGTTTCTTCTGGCCATCACCTTCTTCAGCAGCCAGTTTCCTTTTGCATTTCTCTGAAGGTTCTCTCGCGGCGGCAATGCCTAGACGAGCCAAATCTCCTTCACTCATAGCTTGTCCTTCACGGATGGTCAAACCGCCGGGCCTCCTTGCTTTCTTACTTGTTGTTGCACCCTCTTCCTTCGAGTGCCTCTTTTTGACTCCTTGTTCTTGTCCGCCACGCATCCCTGGCGTCCTCTTTCCCGAGGCACATTCTCCAACGTCACCTTCATCCCCGCCAATCATCGTCTCCGAGTGTCCTTTCATCCTCTTCATGCGTCGGGTTTGTTCCGCCACCTCTTCTCGCAGCGTCTTCTGTCGCTCGCGCTTCTTCTCCGAAGAAGTCAGCTCCCCGCCAGAGTTGTCGCGCACAGCACCCATCCCTTCAGCCTCTTCCCCTCCGACCTCTTGCCCTGATCTGCCGGATTCTCTTCTCGCCTCATCTCAAAGCGAATACGTGTCACCCTGGTAGACGAACTAAAAAAATTTTGAAGTACCGACCTGGTGAGTCCCTCCATCTGGAGAATGCAAGCCGGACGTGTTCCCAGTAGCATCCGGGCTGACCTGCGTCTGAATGCTGCACTCGTGGTCCTTGCTCTGACCCTTAGTGTCGTGAATCACACTCCTGTGCCCCACTGGCGTCACGGGGGTTTCTTGAGCCAAGTTGGACGACCCCTCACGGGCTGGCAGATGGCGGAAAACATATTCTCGCGGAAGAATCGGACGGTCTTTCGGCACCTTCAGTGCAAGATCGAGATATTCCACTGGCGGTGGAAGACGCTTGCTTTTGCCATCGTAAAGCCCTTTGAAGTGACGGCAAAGTAGCATGCTCCAGTTGTACCCCGTGAAACTCTTGATCCGCACTATCACACCCTTAACACCTTTGTAAGGCAGTCTGCAATGGTCGTATAAGATGTTAGAGTGCAACTTGAGCAAGCCTCCAGACTGTTTGCTGAACGAAACGATGGTACCGATAGGATGAACGACGGTTTCTCCCTTAGTGTTTGGAAAGCAAGCGGGTCGCATGAAAACAGTTGGCCCAACAAGGCTCCCCTCAACAACAAAGTCCAAAAAACATTGTGCATCCCTCGTATGGAAATACTGAGGAGTAGATTGTTGAAGAGGCCGTCCCTTCCCGAGGGCAGACGGCCCAGCGCTTGTCGATAAGTTCTTCGCGAACGCCATTTTACTCCCGACCCGAGACCAATACGCCCGAGCCTGGACTAAACCGGATGACCAGGAGAAAGCCACAAGGTTTTCCTAAGGGTACAACTGCAAAGTGCGAACTAACTCGGAGTTATGGGAATGAAGACAATACTACTGTGGTGGAGTGAGTTGGGAGGAAAGATAAAAACTCCTTGGACAGAGTGTGAAACAACAGGAGATCCTGGAGATGAAGAAAGAGGCGGCTTACCTTGGTGAAAGTGCGAGTTAACTCGGAGTTGCGGAAATGTAGACCTCTACAACAC